GGGAGGAGGGTGGAGGGGAAAAAAAGGGGCAGGGGAAGGAGGGGGGGGGGTTAAAAACAGCAAAAAGAAAAAAGAAAAAGAAAACAAAAGGGGTGAGGGGGGGGATGGAGGGGTAATTAAGAGCACCTCTGGAAGGCAGGCTAATGGAAAAGATAACTCCCCGCAACAAGCAGTCAGAAAAGAGAGAAAGAAAAGAAAAGAGACTGTAAAAGAGAAGGCTGCGAGAAGCGTCTCACAGACAAAGAAACCGGAAGCAGAGGGGGAGGGAAGAGAGAGGAGAGAAAAGTGGGGGGAAAAAGCTGCAAAAACAGCAAGAAAAGAGAGTCAGAAAGCGAAATAAACAGAGGCTAGAGACCTTTAGACAGGTTGGAGTGAAGAAAGAAGAGAGATAGAAAGCTGGGAAGTCTTAAGCTCAGGATCACCCCATGCAGCTCCAAGTGAGCCTGGTCTGAAGCATCCAAAGCAGAAGGAAGGAAGGCAGGAAGGAACATTTGGACACAACCACTGTTCAATTTTCTCTTATGCCATGCCCTGCTTTCATGAAAAAGAAAAATCACTGTTCATTCAGCTATACAGAATATCTTTACATTAAACTTCTTACAATAATACTGAGCCTTGATTTCAGATGTCAGGGAAAATAACAGGAACATTCATAATTTTCATAAGGGCTTCAGTTCAGCAAAATACATTGGTTTGTGCATCTACAAATCCAAATTTAAATGTAAAGATACCAAGTGAGCCTGGAACAAAACATACATACATACATACACACACACACACACACACATATATATATATATATAGTGTGTATATATCAAGTGTGTATATTCATATATGTACACTTGAAATTTAGCATATACTTCAGTACCTTGTTGCATTGATACTTACATTTGTTGGTATTATATATTGGGATTCTGAAAAGAGAAATTTGATGAAGATGATTACTAAATGCTTGTGAACTATTATTGCCAAAGACAGTAATTTGTACAACACTTTAACTGTGACATTATACCACTACACAGATTATGGATATATAAATTTCATTTTTTTCAGTGAAAACATTTTTGCAATGTTTTTTAAACCATTGTCATGGTACAGATGCATTCCTTTTCCTCTCTGGAAAGTAAGTGAAGAAGTTTTTCTATGGTGAAGAGAATGGGAGATGCTTGTATTACTTCTATAAATATTTGATGACCATTTCCTTGATTATGAGTGGGAAATGACCACATGGGAAATTAAGGGAGACATTCTATGCCATTCCTGGTCATCTGAGTGTCCACATTTAGCTGTCTACTAAGCCAGGTACTTAGACATCCAGGTATATTCTGTTCTTGAGGGGGGATGAGAAGCAGTGGCAGCATGGATGCAGTTTGCAGATACCTGGCCCCAGGACAGCTCCCCATGGGATGGAAGCTGCACCAGCATTGCAGCCAGGGGTGGGAGTGGGAGGACTAAGAGAAGCAGCAGTGGCATAGGCACAAAAAATCCTACCTGCCACTGATGCACCACTGAAGCCACTTGGCCTACATTGGACCAGAGCTGGATTATTTCTGGCTCATGTCTTGTAAAAGGTTGCCAGTCCCTGGCTTAGATGACCAGGAGTGGGATAAATGCTGCTCCAAGGTTTCTCTCACATCTAGGCTTTTTTTTTAGGATTGCAGAAAGTGCAGATAATGCAGGCGTGTCTACAATTCGCTGTGCAGTGATATTGCTATGATGCCATGCTTAGCATAATAAAGGCAGTTACTGCACCATGTGAGCAGGGCATGGTGGATTTCACCACTACATCATCGTAGCAGCGCGCTATAACCAGGGAGCACACTGCTATGGGTGACGTGTAGATGTGCCCTGGGGACCCAATTCCATTTCACTTTACACTTCAAAGACACTTTTCTAGCTGCATAAGTGGCATTTTTGCAATTTTCAATTGTATGCTGAGCCACTGCACCTTATTTTCAATATTCACTGGATAAAACATCTGGAGAGCAGAAGGGAAGTTTCTGTCCTATTGAAAACAAGTGATAAAACCCAAGGCCTGCTTCCTTTCAGAACAATAAGCAGGAGCCTGTATTTCTTGTTCATGGGTGATTATATTTGCATTTGCTATCATTCAGTCCTTTTTCATTCTGTATGATTATCTTGTTTTCCTCATTATTTCCCATTCTGCCAATCTTTGTGTCATCTGCAAATCAGTGATAGCCACATTGATGAAAATATTAAATGGCATTGAGCACTGGACTGTAGCCTATCACAAAGCAGGTTCAATCCTTAATGGAGGAGGGGCGGGAGAGGGGGTGTAAACCTTTACAAAGTTGCATGCTCCAACAGAAACCCTACAATCCATGGTCATGAACCTATCCAACCACACATTCAACCCCACTGAGGTGTCTAATCTTGTGGTCTTTTTTCTGCTTATCACACAACCCAATACAGTGCAGCTGTATGGAGTCCTTGAGGCTTTTTTCCTGCCACCTAAGATTGATTAAATATTTCCATGATGAGGCCCATGCAGCGATCAACCCACCCCAGACTGAGCCTAAACACACATGCATAATAAGGACAGCTCTTGGACTCCACCTGATGGCCACAGCCCCAATATGGACCTGCATATAACTGTTTCTGCCTTCATGCCCACTCCAAGATTGCCAAAAAGCAACAGCAACCTTAGTCTTTCAGACTAACAACCTTAGTGGTGCAGAACAGAAAGCCATACTCAGCCTTAAAAATAACACAGATGTTATCATGGAACCTTCTGATAAGGGGGTGGGGGCATCACTGTTGTCATGGAGAAAGTAGCATCCATAGAGGAAGTCAAAAGGTAATTTTCCAAGATGGAGTTTTACCAACTTCTGACAGCAGACCCCACAACAGAAGGAACTAAATACACTCTCAAAGAAGCTACCACTAACAACACAGGAAAGGATTACTGCTTTTGCCTCCTGGGAACCTAGACCAGGTACCTTTTACCGATTACCCAAGATCCATAAATTTGACAACCCAGCGTGCCCCATTGTCTCTGGCACCATCATGAACAAAGTTTCTCGGTATGTTGGCTCTGTTCTATGCCACTGGAGCCACCAGCTATTTGAAAGACACTGTAGGTTTTTTTTTTTAAAGAAGCTATGTTCCATTGGCAAATGTCCAGCAAATGCTATATTAGCTACCATGGATCTCTTTACACCAACATCTCCCATGAGGATGGATTACAAGCCAAAGAACATTATCGTTGATGAGAAAACTGCAACTGTTTCCATTATATTCTCCCACTCTCCAAGGCAAGATTAGCTCTGATCCATACTACCCAGCTTGTGTTACACTAAAGTGCAGTCATATTAGCCTACACCTTCATATAAGCACCCCATGTGGCCCCTCTTCCCTACTAGCCTGGATCAGGCCCATATCTTCCCTCCACCCAACACCCTAGAGCCCTGCTAACTGCCTCCCACCCCAACCCCTGCTTACTTTTTTCTGCCAGCGCTGTCTGTCCTAAGGGGAGCAGGCAGGGAAGCGTTAACCTGTTGCCTGACTCCCTGCCTGTTCACCTGGAAGAGATGGAGCCTGCAGACACAAGTAAGTACTGCCCTGGGCTGGGGAATCCCCAAAAGGTGTGGTGGGGAGGGGGGGGGGGGCAATTCAGGGGGCAGGGGGAAGCCCAGAATGGGAAGGGAAGGTTTCTCACTTTTCTGCCCTCTAGGTCTCTGCTGGCCTGCAACGCGACTGTCCCAAACTTGAGCTGGCACTAACACCTCATCTTGTATTGAATCTGTATTGGATGACAGTGGACATGAGGTCTTTGTAAACCTAGTTGTCAAGTTCCCAATAGGAGGGTGAACAGGAAGGGTATAAAGGGATTTCCAGTCTGTATGGACAGGGTGACAGCCAACATATGTTGACTTTTTCTGTCTCTTATTAGAAAAAAGGATGAGTAGAGACATTTTCAGAACTGAATCTGGACAGTAAGATCTGATATGTTGCATTTGCTTGGCCATGCAGTGTAACTAGAGTGAAAAAGGGGAGTCTGTAGCTTGCATACAGAAGCAAAATATAATTAATAATGTATAGGTAACTGGAGGTGAACTGGTGGTCTGCGGGCTGTGTGTTCTGGGTAAGATTTGCAGGTAGATGTGCCCGAGTCCTTGCATTCCTCCACAAGAGGCAAGAATAGGTAAGTCTTATGATTTGCAGGACTACAATTTCTTTTTCTGGATTTGTGTATCTTGAATAGACTATATGAAGTGCTCAAGTGGTTACGCAGACTCTACAAATTATGCAGTGTTAAACCAAACAAGCTTTTCTAAGTTTTTTAAAAATTACCTACTCAATGGGTTTTAATAGTATTTCGCAATCAAGCTTAATAGCAAAAATCTAGCCAAAAGTGACTAGTAGGACTAAATACAGAAAGATATTTCAAGAATAAAATATTAAATGTCATTATTAGCCATATTTACTTGAAAATTATTTGATCCATACCTGAAAAAGCTCTCTTATATGAAAAGTTATACAAGAATGAATGAAGAGCTGATTATGGGAGTATTCATAGAGACTCCATACTTAAAATTGCATTCACTTCTCATTTAAACCTAGATTGAAATCCCTCCCCTTCACATTTCATTTACTAAACTTAGGATGTATATTTGACGCAATTGTCAAGGATGAAGTGAATTTTCTATGCCCTTTCAGGATTGAGTACTTGCTAACTTTTCAAGAGAAAACAATTAGAAAGCAGCTCGTTTTGATATTTAGCCTGGACGGTGACACCTTTCCGGCTTCCTTTAGCTACACAACTGCTAAGTAACCAAAAACATTGGCTTTCACACATGAAAGTCAAATTCTAACAAATAAGTATGTGAATAGTCTGTGACACAAGAGTTGTTCTACTGAACTCAATCTGAATTAATCTCAGGAAACTCCAACAGAGTCACTGGCATACCTTGACAGGAGTAAGAATTGTTATGATGGAGAAAAACAGCTCTTGTTCTGTTGTTACACTCCACAATTGACACTTAAGTGTCATCTCCAAGTATGTGCTCCAATTCATTCCTATGCAGCAAAATGTTAAGGACTAGATCCTGTTCCAAGTATTAGGTGCACAAGTGGCTCCATGCACCTAAATTCAATCTTACTCCACCCTGCTCAAATCCCTGAAAAACTGTTAATTCAAAAAGTGTGCCTTCCTTCTCCTCACTGCTTTTTTGTGACTAAGTTTAAAGGGTAAAATAATGGTCAGTTACAAAAAGAAATGCTTTAATGGATTTTAAGCGACTTGAACAGGCTGGAATAGAACTGCATTTAGGTGCCTACGTTCATTAGGCCCAGTGGGTGGAATGGCTCTTACAGATACACATCTATTTTATTATAACTGATGCTCAAATCTCTTTCATAACAAGTGGATTTAGCGCATGTTTAACTGTGTGTTGAGTACAGATAATACATTTACATTTTGGATCATGCATAAGTGCTTGCTGAACTAGAACCTAAATATCAAAGTGGTCTAAGCAAGAAGAGTCATGTAGCAATAACCAATCAACCTGTCCAAATCCATCACAAATTTCCCTTTTGTCCAGTGTACCTCTATTTTTCCTTCTATTAAACCTCTGATTTCATGTGGGGACACCAGACCCTCATCTCAGCTCCCTTTCCATGGAAAGTTCCAATGTACTGTAGTTTATCACATACATCCCTTGCCAAAGATGACATGTACCTTTTTTGGGGGAAAGATTTTTTTTCCCCGCTCATAGCTTAATGCAGGCCTCAGGGAGCAAGGGCAGAGTCTACTCTTCAGTGTCATTCACTTTTTCTTGCAGCTAAAGCTTTAACCTGATCACAGTCACTGCCAAAGTAACTGTTCAGCCAAAAGCCCATTCAACAGCAGCTTCAGCTGAAAAAGGGAGAGAGAGTGGCATTGGAGGGTAGGCTCCACCCTTCCCAAAGTCCATCCCTCACAGCCATGCCTTCATTCCGGTGTGGAAATCAGTGTACTCACTTAAAACCCACATTTGGAGGGCTAATTTTGATAATATGAGAGTAAATATGACACTTAAAAAATAAAGTTTTAATTTTTTCAATTCTGAATGTAAATCAGAAAATTCAATTTTTTTTCCCACAAGAACGAAATTCCACAATATTGTTGCTGTTGTTGCTACAGAAAAGATAGATTTTCTTCAAGGTAAAACTGAGCAATTGGCTGCTCAGGTACTCAGTGACCCGATCACGGGATAGGGTCCATAAGGATGGCCATGTTCTCCTAAGGCCCCTTGACCATGCCAATTTGGCCCGATGGGCACCCTCAGTTCTCGCCCACCACATCTTTGATGAAAAAGATGAAAATAGGGAGGCTGTCTTTAAGTCCTTTTGGACACAGTTTGATGGACTTACTGAACCCCATGGGTTCCCAGACGCCTTGTGGGTCTTGTTTTGCAATGGGTGTTTCGGGGCACCCTAGCCTTATGGGCTGTGTATGGGGCTCCAACTGCCCTTTTACCATGCCCCCAAGCCTCACAGATGGTACTGGCATTGTCCTGCCTCAGCCTCATTATATAATTCAGCCCCTTGTCCTCACTGAGCTCTCCGTAGCCCTGTCTCTGTGCCCTCACTAGCACCAGGGTCTCTGCATCCAAAGAAAGCCATACCCTCTCTGCCACCAAGGTCTCCATGCTCCAAATGCCTTGGCGCAAGGGTCAGTATACCCCCAGGGTCTATGCCCAACCAAATAATGCACCCTCTTTGGAGCCAGGATCCACACTCTGTAGTGGACCCCAATGAGGCCTCCTCCTTCCCCAAACAGCCTCACCCAAACCACTGGTCTTATAAAACTACAAACAAAGCATAAGACCCTGGGCTACAACTTAACACAGGCTACCGAAGATGTGCTTTGCCCCTTTACCATTACCTGGAGCAGAGATTAATCAGACCTTTTTCCCTTCTCATTCTAAGAGGACTCCTTCCCCCTTAGTTGCCAGCAGAGAACTACCTCCCTTAGTTTCTGCCTGGGGTTTATATGGGCCCAAGGCCCTGCCCCTTCCTACCAGCTGATTAGGTGCAGGTGCTGACTAATTGCTGCATTAATTAGCTTCCATGGCAACCTGCCTGGCTGGAAAGTCTCTCCCCAGACAGTTTCTGCCCTTCTAGAAGCGACAGACCGAGGTGCGGGAAAGGAAGGGCATCACTCACTGGAGAATACGAAGAACAGAAGCCACAGAGCTGAGGTCTGGAACTTGAAAGATCCTGCCCTGTCCAGGACTCCTGGCTCCATACCAGGGTATATGGTACAGCCAAAAGTAGCTCTTATGATAAGGCAGCACCAAAACCATGGAACCTAGAGAAGCTTCCACATGACAGAGCTGCCACACGGCTACAGATCCAAAAATGCCAATGTCCTTGGTAGCCCAGAAAACTAACTAGCAAGAAACCAAGTAGCTTGCACTGAAACCTGCCTGTGGTTCAGTGGAAGTTTAGCAAAACTCAAATGTTTCTACAAAACATTTCGAGAGGTGCAAGGGAGAACAATATATTTCAGTACCAAAAAAAAGGCGTTCTTTGTAAGAAATTTCCCAACTAGCTCGAATCCCAACAGGAAAGCTTTGCCATTCAGGTTAAAGTAACATCTCTGCAGGAGACAAATACAATGTACATGTTTGTAATGGGTTAAGCGCCTATTGTTTAAATATAGCAGCAATTCAAACAATAAGACTCTAAGATGCAGCTCCAACAAACATCAACTTTCACTTAAAATAAAAATGATTGCAGTGAGAAAGGGAGAGATCATTGTTATTTCTCATCTGTAGGCAAAGTCATTGTGGCCCTATCTATCACCCATAATGCTTGCATTCTCCTGGTTTCTTCTGCATATACTAGAAACAAATTCTGATGAGGTCATGCACATCAGTAAATATCAATTCCAAGAAGGTAGACAAAGAGAGTGGTTGGCACTGACTTCACCTCTAAGTTGTTCTGCACAATAAACAATTCAAGATAAAGTACATATATATATTTCTTCAAATGATAGAATGAAATAGTGAAGGCTCCAACAAGGTAATTACAACAGGGTAGGGCACATCTGTTAAATTAACTTAAACCTCCTTGTTTGCAGCTTCCCTCTACAGGTCATATTCTGCTGCATGTTACAAGCATTACTTAGCTATCCACAGGCTCCATGTGCTGTTAGAGTAAGGCAGTTTCTCAGGTACCAAATATATGACACAATTTCTAATTTCCTAAAATATTCCCTGACTGTGTATCCTACAAGGAATAACATGAGAATATAGAATGCTCTGGAATATCATACAGTATATGAGGAGCAACTTATGTGCTTTAGCCCAATCCTGGAAGTAAATATCTTAGCAAGTTGATGGTAGGTGATGGGTAAATAGAAAATAGTCTGGGGCTGAGGATTGGGGACTAGTGAAAGGTTACAGAACCAAAATTTCCAAACCCAATTTCCCAATGTCATTACAATCAGAGGGAAATAGTTTCCCAATGCCTAGTGGTAGCCTCTGCATAATTATTTGGTGGCCTCAGTTTACTCTTATTATAGAAATCCACACATTTTCCAAAAAAATGGTATAATTTTTGGCAATCTCACCAAGCAGGTTAATGACTATCTAGGCATGGCAAATGAATCCCTGAGATGGTCCTTCCAGATAAAGACTGAGGAAAACTGAAACAGGATTCATATGCATATTGATACGCAATCAAGGGCTTCACACCTGCAGAAGCCAACAAGATAAGGAAATCCAGGGCATTATGGACAGGGACACTGGTGAAAATTTACTGCTTTAGCTCAAAACAAGTAATCTTTCTGGCAGCCAGTCATTTGCTGCTGAACTGGCAGGAAGTAGACCCCAATCACAGCCTAAAAACCAGTGGAGGAGACAGTGATGAAGTGGTTGTACAAGTCTCCTAGTGAATTTGTAGACTTCCTTGATTCCACTATCTACCTTTAAAAAGTATCAGATACTCCATTTCTGGTATCTGCATCTGACTTCTGACCTATTCATGGGCTATTACTTCCAGATTTTGACCTCTGGATTGTTCTCAACTCCAGCCCCTGACTTCTAGCCTACCTCCCACCTCTTGATTATGCCCTCAGCATTAGCTTTGATCATCCTCACCTCTGTTTGTGACAGTGTTGAGGGACCACACAGCAAACTAAGATGAGAAATCAATGGAAAGGGCAAATGATACCAGAGAGCACTTACCAGTTTCTGAGCATTGTATAGCTATAGCTTACATACTTGAAACAGTTCTGAAATGAATAGTCCTGCCAAAGTTATCCTTGGAGAAATCAGAGCCTCCATCCTCACCTGCCTCTCTTCTCCGCCTTCACACTCAATAATCTTAGGTATAAACACACGCCCACAAACTGGCACACTACTTTGATATTGTATACAGCTCCTCCTAAAAGAATGCCAGCAGAGCACCAAGTGGTAAATAAGAACAGCACCCCAACATGAGTGCAGTCCTCAGGTGCTTATTGTTTAATACAGCCTCTTATACTGTTTTACTTTGTTTATTGGATATTATTCAGTATTTAAAATGGCATACAATTCCCCAACTCAGCCCACATGCTGTGGATTGCCTTCAAGATTTTTTTTAATGTTGTTGACTCTGACAACAGCATTTAAGATTAGGCAGTTCATTTAATCTTATGCAGCTATTATTACCACCAATGGGGTAAAAGGAGAAATTGCATGGCAATGCCAGCCGTAAGCCAATAAAAGACTCTCACAAGAGAAAGCAATCATACACTGAGTTAAGTTTCCAGCCTTTTCAAACCATTTCTCCCTGTGCTAACTGCATAACCTAAAGTTATACTCCTGGAGGGTTTTTCATGAGCTTTTATGACAAGTGCCCACAGTTCCCGTTAAGTATGTTCCATTTCAAAAAGCGTGTAGGAGGAGTGCTTCAGCTATTCTTTGTAAGTTGAAAACCTAAACATATTTGTTTTTATTTCAATGCCATTTCATTATCTTGACTTTTGTAAATGAGCCTGAAATTCAAGCAATTCTGAAAAACACGTTGGCAAAGGAAAGACTCTTTCTAGATATTTCAGAACAAATCATTCTCAGAATGCTAGCATCAGATGTATTCACCAACCTTGTAGCATCCTTACCAATATGTCTCCAAGTACACTCATGAGCATTTGATAAAACATGGTTTAGAGAACTATAAAGAAGGATTTTTTTAAGGGATCAGAAAATAATCATTATCCATAACATCTTTGTGGAGAGCACCAACGAGGGCATTATTAAGGCTATATCTACACTGCAGTTGAATGCATGTAACTGCAATGACTGCACACCCGGGCTAGTTAAAGCCAGCTAGTTTGATAACTGAGAGCTGTGAAAATGCTTTGGTATTAACAGTAGCACAGACTAACAACTGAGTAAGTACTCAAGTACAGACAGTCAAAAAGCCTAAGGCTGAATTGATTCACGCTTCACAGGTTAGTCTAAGCTGCATAGATTGAATAAATAAGCAAGTGAACAGATATTCACTTTGATTCCAGAAATGCAGCCACATGCTTGCAGTAGCCCATGCCAGAAGATGGGGGGCACTACAGCATGCCTTCCTGTTCAAGCAGGAGCAGACAGCTTGGGGTAAAGCTAGCCTGCCCACCTTGTGAGGAGGGGCTTGTGGGGGAGGTGCAAAGCATCTTGGGATGCTGGAGGACTGTGAGCTAACTTGAATCTGGGGGGGATCTGGAACAGAAGTTCAATAAACCAATTTCACCCAAAGCAGTTAAATCTGATACTACATCCATCCAGGTTTATCTTACACCAGTTTCGGCCATTTTGAAAGTGGTTATATGCACTGAACTTTTGTTGTGTTACAGATTGGAACTGGTTTCCAATCACTTACACTGGTTTATGTGTAACACCTGTCCTTAACTAAGGTGCCCTATATCATATGCTTGTACAGCCTTTACTGAACGTCCTGCCACCATGTCTTAACTGCTATCAGCACACAAGCAGCTAAATTAAAGCTTGCTCTGGTGTACCACCACTTGCTATAATCACACCTCCCAAGTTTAAAAAAAAGCAAATTTTCTGTCCATTAAGATCTGAAGGCAGTTAATGATATACCTCTTTGTATAAAGGTGATGGTACCACTCTGCTATCTTCATTACATGGTAGAGATAAGGGTGGGAGGAAACAGATTCCCAAACAAACTGAATTACAGGGGTTTTTTCCCCCTATCAATCCATACATAGCCAAATATGAGGGACTTTCAGGTTAGTTATTTTACAGCTAGAACATATCACATAAAGGCAAGACAAGAGATGAAAATCTCTGGGGGAAGAGGAGGATAATGATACTAAAACAAACACAAAAACAAAATCCCACTGTAGATAATTTATGGTACCTCCTTTTCTAGAGCATCCCTCCTTTCTCAAGCATGACTGATAACTGACAATGGGCAATTTGGTCTAATGCAAGCCAGATGCTAGCATTTTAAAATGGATATATATATATATATACATACCTACATATAGAGATAAATATATAGATATAGATATATAGATAGATATTGATATCTATCTATATATAGATATCTCTATTTATAAAGATATATATAGAGAGAGAAAGATATCTATATCTATATATTTCCATTTAAAAATGCTCATTCCAAATTTTATTTAGATTCTGTAATTATTCTGTGATGAATGCTCAAACATAGTGCAAGAAAGTGCTTAATCCTCAGGGGACTGGAACGCAGCTGCAGGTAGGTTGCAGTTAATGGTCTGCCTGGTAGGAAGGCTGAGAGAAAGCTGCAACTGATGATTATTAAATGAGGGTGGAGCCACAGAGTGGGCTAAGAGCTCCAGGAGCAGAATAAAAGGAGAGAGAAAAGAGTAGGCTGTAGTGCTGAGGGAAAAGCACAGAACCCACCTACAGCTTTTAAGACATAAAGAAAAGCATCAGGTTTGGGTTTTGTTTGTTGTTTCTATTTTTCTTTGT